AAAGAGGGATGACAACGCAAACATGAACGGGCATGTATGACTATGGGAACATAAGAATCTGGAGAGGCCTTAGAAACTTCGTTGTGATGTCCGAGGAGTGTGTGATTGGTACATCGGCCGGTATGTCTTATGTATTGATGGCCGCATCTCAAGGAGATGGAGTAAACTTTCTTCTCTTTGCATGCAATAAATTTCTTTTCGTGTTTAATAGTGCAGCCAATCGGAATCCGGTTGTTGTTCACTTGTTGACAGAGTTGTTTAAGACGCATGCGGCACGAAAAGACAACATTTGTGTCAAACTTTGAGGCAATGGATTTTATCCGGTGGGCTGAATTGTGTACGTAAGGTATGACGGCGAATCGGGCTTTCTTTTTTGTGGCAGGTGACTGGTGATCAGGCCCGCGAATCAGCCTTTCCATTACTGATCGAAGAAGGTCGACGGGAAACCCTGCCCTGACGAGCCTCATGTGCTGCAATATGAAGCTACTTTCTGAAAGATGACAGAAAGACTTCGTGAATGATGACGAAAACAACGATTTGATGATAGCGTGTTTTACCGTCTTCGAATGGGCGCTAGAAAACGGTAGGACAGGTTTAGCAGACCTTTGTCGAAAGGCCCTGCAGAGTCCAGTGGCACTGACATGAAGCCGCAAATTTAGGTACTGAAGACCTTCATTCGAAGGTCTTCAGTACTTCCCTTGTGAATGTAAGGCCTGACGAACAAGCGAAAAAAAAAACGGCTGTAATGCTGTCTGGAGACGTTCGATCAGGATGAATGATTAGGTAATCGTCTACATATCTGAAAACATGGCACAAGGCGCGGTGATGTCCAGTTGTGCTTTCATATCTCTGTCAACGAATAAAAGAAATAATTTGCTGACAACAGGGGCGAGGCATGAACCGATGCAAACTTCTTTCTTTTGGCGGTAGATCCCTCTCTTATGTTCAAATAAGCTGGACTGGAAATATAGATGAATCAGGTCCGCGAATCCAGCAACGGAGACACCGGAGGAATTCTGAAAATCTACAACTCCGTGCTCAAAGATGGCGTCGGAGATTGAGGCAAGCAGTGCGGTAGGATCTAGACTGAAAGACCATCTTAAGAACACCTAAAGCTGTTAGAATACGATAAGACTGGCGGTTTTGTTGTGTTAGAGGAGGGAGATTTTGGAGATAAGGTGAACGCCGCCCTTTCAAAGAATTTTCTCAAACTGAAATCGCGACCGTCCGGGACCCTCAGGTCAAGAGCTAAACAACTCTGCTCGTCTTTGAACCTGTCGTCCCTAAAAAGCGCCATTAGATGTCCAGCGAAGGAGTACCTTTCAGTTTTCTTCACTGCAAAAACACATAAGGCTGGAGTTCCCCTCCAAAATATTGTGTGGGAAAGGGTTGTTGGCAGAAGCAGATCGGGCTCTTTCAACAAAAGCATCTGTCCTGCATCCACCTCCCTCAACCCTTTAGAGTGTCTAACTCAACAGAATTCATCTCTCTCACCAGTTCCCAACATTTCTTCTCCCTGCCGCACTCTATTTTTTCACTTGGCATAGAACACATGTATTTCAATCTAGATCGTACCGCATTGCTTGCCTCAATCTCCGACGCCATCTTTGAGCACGGAGCTGTGGATTTTCAGAATTCCTCCGGTGTCTCTGTTGCTGGATTCGTGGAGCTGATTCATCTATATCTCCAGTCCACCTTAGTTGAACATGAGAGAAGGATCTACCGCCAAGAGAAAGGAGTTTGCATCGGTTCATGCCTCGCCCCTGTTCTCAGCGAATTATTCCTTTTATTCGTTGACAGCTACAAAAGCACAAATGGACATCTTCGCGCTTGGCTGCCATGTTTTCAGATATGTAGACGATTACCTAATCATTCATCCTGATCAAACTTCTCCAGATAGCATTACAGCCGTTTTTTTTTCCGCTTGTTCGTCAGGCCTTACATTCACGAAGGAAGAACCTTCGAATGAAGGTCTTCAGTACCTAGATTTGCGGCTTCATGTCAGGGCCACTGGACTCTGCAGGGCCTTTCCACAAAGGTCTGCTAAACCTGTCCTACCGTTTTCTAGCGCCCATTCGAAGTCGGTAAAACACGGTATCATCAAAACGTTGTTTTCTTCATCCTTCACGAAGTTTTGCTGTCATCTTTCAGAAGATAGCTTCAAATTGCAGCACATGAGGCTCGTCAGGGCAGGTTTCCCGTCGACCTTCTTCGATCAGTAATGGAAAGGCTGATTCGCGGGCCTGATCGCCTGTCACCAGTCACAAAAAAGAAAGCCCGATTCGCCGTCATTCCTTACGTACACAATTCAGCCCACCGGATAAAATCCATTGCCTGAAAGTTCGACACGAATGTTGTCTTCTCGTGCCGCATGCGTCTTATATCCCATTCGCACGGTCAACATAAAGGTACCTTTAACATAGGTCCCTTTGCTATCGGCGAATCAGCCCGTGCTCAAGGGTCGCGAGCACACGCCACGCGCGGAAGATCGTTAATTGATTGACCGCAGAGAACACAGGTCCCTTAGCTAAAGGTACCTTTACGGTCGTGTGAATGGGGTATTAAACAACTCTGTCAACAAGTGAAGAACAACCGGATTCCGATTGGCTGCACTATTCAACACGAAAAGAAATCCATTCCATGCAAAGAGAAGAAAGTTTACTCCATCCCCTTGAGCTGCGGCCATCAATACATAGGACAGCCCGGCAGATCCACCAATCACAGACTCCGCGAACGTCACAACGAAGTTTCTAAGGCCTCTCCAGATTCTTATCATCCCATAGTCATACATGCCCGTTCGTGTTTGCGTTGTCATCCCCTCTTTGATGAAACAAAAATCCTGGGGGGGGGGGGGGGGGGGGGGCATCACAGCAAATTCGGCAGGGAGATCATAGAGTCACTCGCCATGACCACAGCAAACAACGTGTCAAACCCTTCCCTCCTGCTGACGAAAACTGAGGTTGAATTTCTAAAATCCGAGATAAGCCCACCACTCTGATTTGCACTTCGCGTTTTCGTATCTTCCCTTCTCCCCCTTCTTTTCCTGGGTATGGTCGGCTGCTCGCTGTTGAAAGTTTACTCGTCTGTTGCTAGTTGAAAGATGGGGTTGCGCTGTCCTTGTTTTAATTGTTTTATTCTTTCTCCATCCATGAACTGAACGAGTTGCGAGGTGGACAAGCATCTCGCCACGACAGCCATGTTTGTTATCGCCCCGTTCCTCGAAAGCATCAAAGGCCGAGATTTGTCCGGCAACACCGCAAAGTTCCGTGCCGCTGATTCTTTCCCACTGCAGCGACGAACGAAGACAAACGCACACAAACGAACGACGACGGATATGTTCTTGTTCGTCACCTGACTTGAAGCGCCCCATAGCGGCCCCACCGAGGAACATCTCCTGGAGCCGAACGTATCCTCCTCGGTCGCTTGTACATTCTGCTGCCTTTCTTCTTACACTTCTCTACCCATCATCCCCTTTTTCCTGTAGCTCGATCGACTTTGGGAAATGGCCCTGGTCTTGTCCACATTGGCTTCATGCTTTTCCCCGTCCCTCGGTGGGATCATGGCTTCCTTCGTTGGCTGTTGACATGTCATAACGCGAAAGAAAATTTCCCGTCGCTCGTTTGGCTCGCAAAAGCCTAGTGCGTTGGGTGGTGCTTCAAGACGCCGAGGCCTATCACACTCTCATTAGGATGGATGCACCGACGTTCGAGTAGTAGCAGGCCAAAGTAAGGCCGCTCATCACGAAAGGGTATCGCGTTCCGGCAAGCCATTCCGGCAGGCAGAGACTGTCAACACGTGGTATGATAGTCGGGGTGCCGTATATCTCGCAAAAAAAACGCTTGCTTTCGAAGATCCGGATGAGAGCGATTTTGTAGAATTGCTCGGCGCTCATGACGGGACCTCGAACGTGCTGAACGACATAACCGATTAAAGATTCGGGAACTTCGGTTCACAAAACGCTTGGTGTCAATGTGATGCCGGTTTATGGAAGATCGCCAACGAGAAGTAAGGGACCGAATAAGGAGTTTTCATTATGAAAGAACATATTTATCTCGAGTTTCCCCGTGTTTCTCAGAGCGTATTCCGCGTAAAGAGCGGAGCAGAAAAACCACGCCGCCCGACTCTGTCTGTGTATTTTGAAATGTTTTGTTCCCAACTTCACTTCCACCAGGAAATAAGTTCCCTTGTCTGTGTGTTCTGCGTCGTATCCGTCAACTGAGACGGCGGATTCCAACAGACAGGTCGTCTGTCGGTGTCATTTGTGGCACGTTGCAGGTTTTCGAGGTCGTTTATTAATGTTTGTCGCCTTAGTGGGACGAGGCGATTATCTTTTGAAACCGAAGCGGGAAATGCGATCTCGTGATATTTTTTGAGAAGATCAGTGACTCGTTCCAGATCATATGCTTCTCAAACGTAAAGTTATGTCCAACAGAAGACTACCACGGCATGGACAAACGATTTTACAACAAAAATTTAGAGGTCAATCATCTCTCGAACGAACTAGAGCCGAGAAACAAAGTGTAGCTCCAGCTTTCGCTGTGGGCGGGGACTGATGAGGGCTGCCTCCATCTAAATTGCGTCTGGTGGCGTAAAGTGAACATTGCGCTATACAATGTTTTTTTATTCGTGGAAATTTTTTTTTTATAAACTACGTTTTTCATCTATGCTTTTTAATTTTTTTCCCCGGTGTTCTTTGAAATCCGGGATATCGCGAATCGCAATCGTGCTGCAATAATACTTGTTTTCAGGATGTACATAAAATGTCGCAATTCTATGACCTCGACACGTGCTAATGTTAGATTCTAGCTCGAACCTTGCATACTTTACATGGCCAATGGCATGTGGCGTTCGAGCTGGAGTGAAAGTATAAATAAAGAAACAGGGTATAAACGTGCCGCAGCTTTTCCGTCGGTTTGAAAACAAATCCAGTGCAACCCGTTCCTAAAATCTAAAAGAATTTCCACCTGGTTCAATTGTAAGGCATCTCTGCAACTCGAATCATGGCACTCGTTTTCTTCACCATTGCTGCACTCGTAAGCTTGAATTTCTGCAGTGGAAGTCAGTCCTGGCCTGAGCTCAATCCGGAACTTCAACAGTATCAGGACTTGTCAAAGGTCAGTATGCGTGGTACGCAGTCTAGCGGCTCTAAGGTTTTGTAATGGACTTGAATCGGTTCCTCTGAAAAAAACACTGATGCGTTTTAAAAAAGAGAAAAAGAAATGTATATTGTAGCAACATGCTATTGCTGCATTTTTTTTTTCCGTTTTGGTAAGACACTGAATAAAATCGGGAAAATCATTTCACTAGACTATAAACGCATGCCTAAGATTATAGAAAAGAAACGTGCATGGTATACTCGTCGAAGAGTTTAGGAATACGCAGGGCAACAGCAAGAACGTTCGCCCTAAAAACCTGTGCAATGAAAGGACACTCTGCCTAGCTTTATGCACGATTCGTTCTTTCTTTTTCTCTATGCGTTGTTTTTAGAAAATTATTTGATTAAAAATGTACCCCTTTATAATTCACACCCCAAATACACGATATGCGTCTCATATTTAGGGTGACCAAACGTGCAGCCCCGTTTTAGAGACACATTTTTGCTGTCCCGTTGCGAAATGAGTGCTAATTGAGTAAAAGTAAGTCTATAAGAACCATTATCATAAAAGTGACCATTTTATAAATATGTAGTAAAGATATAGTAAATTTAGAGCTATTTCTCTGGTTTCATCTGAAGTCCTGTTCGCGCAGGACTTGAGATGGAAGTTCGGGGCCTTTTCATTTTAGTAGTTGCCTCACCGGCGGATAGAGAGTGCTGACGCCCTCGGCGCCATAAGGTTGCTTCAATTTGGTTGGTTTGGGTTTCAGCGTGAACTCGGCTATGTTGCTGTTTTACATTGCTTTTGCTTATTTTCTGGTACGATTATTTTTCTTGTAGCACACAACCGATGAAACAGTGGTATTGAGCCAGTTTGAGATCTACGACGTGTATTTTAGCCTAAATGAAAGGCTTTTTTACTAACTCCTTTGGCGTATCTGATTATGGTCGGTTGCAAAACGCCAGACAGGTGTACAGGGAAGATTACCACCGACTACGGCCGTGCTTGATGACACCAGTTTCTAGATAAACAAACTAATGAAGAGACTAACACGTGGATGTAGGGCAGCATATCCACAGTTTGATTAGCAATGTGCTGAATTGGCCAGAACAGTTGAACTCGCGAGTTTACTACTCACTGTTTGGTTTTCGTGGGCACCCAACATTTAGTGAACTTCGCAGACTAAAAGCGTATCGTGTGATTACGCAGATATTGATATAAACAAGTAGTAGCATCACGACCTCTTTTTTTTTTCATTCAGTACTCGCGCATGTTTTGACAGGCCGAGTGGGAAATTTCTTAAATTATCTACCCTGCTAAAGCACGCATAAGCAGCTTTTCGCGATATTAGCCCTAGGAAATAAATTATTTTTATATGAACATTTGGTTACCCAAGATATGATATAAGTGACAGGCCCGTCGAATTAAATCTGGCATTTTTCTTCCGTAAAATTGGCAAAATAAATTTAAAGGGCGCAGGAGGAAAAATACCTCGGAAAGTTTGGCTGAATTCGAGCGCTAGGCACCTCTTCACGGACTTGTGTGAACAAATATTTATTTGTTTGAACAGATTCGCTTTGTAAATTTCGGCGTCGCCAGCCACCAATAGTAAAGCTCTATTCGCCATCGACAATCCTGGACTCAAGTAATCGTTATGCACGGCTGTTTTCTTTCTTTCGGCGTAAATTATTGCGGACTCCAGATACAGGCAAAAAATAAAACAACGTACGCCCCCCCCCCCCCCAAAAAAAAAAGCGTCGTCAATATTGCGCATGCGCCGAACCTAAACCGCGTTTTAAATTTGCAAAAAAGAAACGATGTTATTTCTTTGTGCACGCTATTCTAAAAGTCGCTACTGTTAAGTGTCTGTGGCAGTTTCTTACGTGGGAAGTCCCAACCTTTGTGTTAAGATTAATTAAGTGAATGGCACTGGTTCTCTGAATATAATAAATAAATCACTTAAATGACTGTCGAAATGGGAGCAAGCACGGTATACAATTTTTTAAACTTCATAAGTGAACTGACACACCGAATTTTTACGTCGCAAAAAAGGTTGAGAACCTCAAACACATGCACGTGTGATATTATGAACAAACAAATCGCCTGATGTATGTATCATTATTTTAGCCTCAGATAAAATGCAAGTTAAACGTTCGTTGTCTGTCTCCTCCGCGAATATCCTAACATAATCAAAAGCAACTGTTTACGATCTATTATGACTACAAAAAACGATGCCTTCAGGAGATACAGATAGTCTCCTTGCGCTGACTATTCTTGACGCCTTCCGATCCTAAATGCACGATATAAATATATACGCTTCTTACTGAGAATGTTCCGGCACAATAAGTAAACAAACCTCAGTTGTCACAAGGACCTTTGAACCCTCGTGATGTTTTAGTCGTCGAGTAGACGTATCGGACTACAGTTTCTGAAGCAAGACAAAAAATCGCGGTGTAACGCGACGAAAAACACGAATACAACGCATCCGCCAAGGCGTGGAGACTACTTTCATAAAGCCCTACATGCAACACGGCGCGCGTTGCACTCTGGGAACTAGTTGGCCAGCCAGGGAGGAGGGTGGCATGGTTTCGGTTTCGATCGACACGTCGACAAGAGATTATATACAAAGCGTGGACTATTAACGACCGTTATCTCATGTTTTCTGGTCCCGAGAGCGTCATTTGTGGTCTCTAAACTAACCTAAATGGCCAGACCTCGAAGCTTCAGACAAGCCCGAGACGTATAGCTTGTCTTAACTCATGCTTGTTGTATTTCTGTACTTGAGCCTTTCTGTTAGCGTTCCAATCGAGGTATGTGGACAAGCCAGTGCTGGGAATCTCGACGCTGCGAAGCTGGGGGATCTTGCTAGTGTACGAATCAACAAGATCTAGCAACCAGTAAGTATGCATACACCTAGCTCGCGCCTTTACATTAGTGTTGTTGATCAGGAAGTTTGTTTGTTTCGTGCGTCCATAGACAAAATATCACTTTTTGCAATTACTGTTTTTCTTAATACGCCTGAGTACGCGAGGTAAAACTCGGAGGCGCCATTGAAAAGCTCAATTTTAACACACTTCTTATCTCTTATCTGTACTGACCCGCAGCACTGCACGAAGTAAGGTCCCCACCCGCTTGCATTCCACTAATGTTCAACATGGCGTATGCGCATAAAGTTATCCTGCAATCATATAGGCACATTCGCACATACAGACCGTTTTTAGAAAGCGAAAGTCGAGCACTTGTGTGAAGAATGTCGCACCGTTCGCCGGGAGTGCGCCGGATGGGCATGAAACCCTATGCGGTGCGCCAAACGAACGAAATAATTCAAAACACGTTTGACGGTTGCTAATGGCCATAATATTTGTTATGTGTTTGCTTTCTTCCTCCCTGAGTATGTCGAGATAATTTCAGACACACCGTTCAGGCACAGATCTTGGGCGTCAGTAAAAGCTAGTCCAAAAAGGCTTAGCGAGGAGTAGGGGACGCTTGTTAGGGCCCCCGTCGTAGCTAGCCGATCTCAGCGTTTGCGAAAACTTAATCTTCTATCAGCATAAAATTTGAGTGGGAGATATATGATGACACGAGGAAGACATCATAGTAACTTTTGTGCAGTAGTGAGGTCGAATTTCTTGCGTTTCCTTAAAAGTTAATGCGTCAACGCTGGGCCCAACTTTGATACTCCTGTGAGAATGCGGCTTGCTTTTTGCCCAATGAAGTAACAAGAAGCGGACGTTTGGCAAACAAAATAGGTGAAAGGCTCCAGATGAACAAATTTCAGTTCTAGTTCACTGGTACTAGACGGGATTATTGAAATTGAACTCAAAGATGCACTCGTGGGGTGAGGTGACTAAGCCACGTATTACTACGTTTGCATACGCACTCATAATATCCGGTGTTTCGGGAACCAAGAAAAGTGCCCCGGTCTTCGTTTTGTATCGCTCGAGAATGAGTGTATTGTACGTTCGAGAAAAGTCAGATAATCGAAAACGCAAGCAGCGCGTTCGGTCGCGGCGTGAGAGCATGAGATGAAGCTGCTCAGTCGAAACCGAAACTGAGCGGCCAACTAGTTCCCAGAATGCACTGCGTGGTATTTTGCCGCGATGGGGCGCGTCGGTTTTGGAAGAAGTCCATTGAAGCAACCTAATGACTGCCGCGTCACGTGATTCCAACATGGCAGCGCCCATGCGGAGGAGGATGAAAAGGTCTTATTCGGCATGCTTCGGTTTTGTTTAAAAATTAAGAAACGTGCTTGAGTATTTAGCAAAACGAAACACTTGGGAATTTCAGTTCACTGACAAAATGCACAGTGAACTGAATAGTAGTATGGCTTGCTGTTTCGCCCGGCCCCTCTCCCCGACCCTTTCCCCCGATGTCCCATTTTCCACGCTGTATACATAATGGTCACCCAACTTATTTTCGAATAAATGCCTAAAACCTGAAGGGTTCGTAGGGTTAGAGAAATGTAGCTAGCCAAAATATTAATTAGGGTAAGATATAGATTTTATCATAGTTTCAGAATAAAGAATAAACCTGAATACAAATGACAAAAGAAAATAAAGATACATATATTTTAAATGTGCGACAAGAGAAAGAAAAAGAAATGAAAGACGTTTACAATTCCCTGTAATGCCTAACTAGAGCGCAGCTCTTGAACAAGAGGAGGGGAGGGTACGGAAAAGAGAGTATTTTCTCCTTTTCCTCCGTACCCCCTCCTCGTTTCCCAATTTTCCTCCCGCTCTCCTCCTCGCTCATCCTCTCCTTCTCCTCCTCCGCTCCTCTTCCTCCTCCCTTCCCCCTCCTTCTCCTCCTTCAGTCTTCTCCCCTACTTCTGCCATCTTTCTCTCTTCCTCCTCCTCCCCCCTCCGCCTCCTTCCTTCCTCCTCCTCCCCTCCTCCATTTTTCTTCTCTCCTTCTCATCTCCTTCTCTCTTCCTTCTCCTCCCTCTTCTTTTCTCCTTCCTCGTAACGTCACTCGTGACCTTCGTGACGTCACTGGTGACTCTCGTCGCCGCCTCGTGAAGGTCACTATGAAAGTCGTGACCTTCGTCGTGACCTTCACGAGTGACCATCGTGACGTCACTCGTGACCCGCGTGACTCCTCGCGTGACGTCCTTGGGACCCTAGTGACCCTCGTGACGTCACACTGACGTCTCGTGTAACATCATTATGGGAAACGTCCCATGATGCAAAGCGCGGTTGCGCCGACGGCGATGGCGACGCCGCTCAAGCCGGAAACAGGAGCCCAACAGCTGGGCTCTATGCAAGACAGCCAGCAAATCGTAGAGGAAAATCTAAACTATTGAATATAGTGGCACGTCATATCATTGTAACTTTGTTTTACATTCGTTTTAGAGTGTAGCTCTTAGGCGCCCGTCTGCGGCTTGAGCGGAGTTGCCGTCGCCGTCGGTGTCGCCGTCGGCATAACCTCGCGTTGTATTATGGGACGTTTCCCATAATGACGTCACACGATGCCTAAATTTGGCGGAAAATTTTTGCGCTAAATTTAGGAGGAAATTTTGTTCGCTAAATTTAGCAGGAAAACTACTCCGCCAAATTTACCGCAAAATATAGCGGAGAAATTTTTCCGACAAATTTAGAGAGCAATTTTTTTCGCTAAATTTAGTGCGGAAATTTCCCCGACAAGTTTACCGGTGAAATTTTTCCGCAAAGTTAGCGGAGAAATTTCCCCGCTAAATTTAGCGGGTGAATTTACCGGAAAGTTGTCCCACAATTTCATGATAAATTACCCTCCGTACCATTCCTTCCCCTCCGAACCCTTTCCTCTTCCTCCTCAAGAGCTGCGCCCTAATTTGGCATTGCAGAGAATTGTAAACGTCTTTCATTTTTTGGAGACTCACAGTATTGACTTCACCAATGGGTTAAAAAAACACTTATTGAGTCTCTCAGAACGTCTTTACCAGCAGAAAAATAACTTCAGTAGAAAAACGAGCCCAGAAAGCTTTACACGCGCACATCATTATAAAATTTGTTGCACATTCGAACATATCAGATGAAATTAGCTGCCTCGCAACGCTTGAAGAGTTCAAGCTTGGCCACAAGTGACTTTTTTTTTTAAATATGCGCAGTTATTACTTGTTTTTCTTTTTTCTGAGCATAGGTAGGTGTTTGCCTATATTGATACCAATGTCTTCCTCTCGATTTAATTCATTACAACCAGTGCTACCCACTTCCGGTGACTTGGTACGTGATCTTCAGAAACTTTGAGTCAGACCCAGTCTTCGGCGGCACAGCGAAATGCGTCAGGTTCACCGAAACGGGGCCACCAGAGGATGGCGCCTACCCAGTTCTCATAGAATACGGGAACCAATCTACGTAAGTGGAACCAAGTTCTGGCAGTATGTATTCAATGTTTTTAAATAGTAGGAACGCGGTACGTCTTCCATTTTTATGCTGCGTAGAGCACAAACACGTATTCAGTTTTTGCGATGTCTTTCAGGCCATACTTATGCCATGTTTCGGATATGTGTCAGCCCCGACGTTTATTCGAACATACATTGAAAGATTCCTTGGATACTTCCCTGCTGGCACAATTTATTGTGCCAAATCGTGGTCTTCGTTTGGCAATAAGGGCCCTGAATGCTCCGAAAATTCAAGGTGTAACCTAAATCTATATTTGTTAGGAATGGCCTGGCTATTTCTGCCCTAAATCGCCCTAGAAGTTTTAGATTTAGGCTTCACCACTACATGGTTCTTTGGTTGACATCTGGCTTCTTTGGGCCTCGATTCACGAGAAAATGCTAAGCTAGACTTTATTTCTGATTGTTAGGTTTTCACCTTTAAATTTTAGGCCTAAATTGCGAAACAAGAATCGGGCTTCAGACGCCGGTTGTTTGGTTGATATGGAATATTTTCGGCTCCTGTGGACTGGCACTTGGGGAATTTATGTGGTAAACTAGAAAAAAGGCCATAGAAAGGCCAAAGTACATTACTTTGACACTAACCATCGCCTTGGAGCAAAACCTTAATAGGTCCAAGTTAGGCCCCTGGAATTGCTAAATTTGGTCCAAGCTAGGCGTTTCCCTAGCATGCTGCCTGGTGTTAATTCCTACTTGGTTTCGAACCAATCGAGGGGCCAGGCCATTCTGTTGTTCTTTATTATTTACTTGTTTATCAATACTGCGAACTCATTTACATTCAAGCAGGAGTGAACATAGGAACGTAAAGGACACCGAGAAAACATCAAGAACACTAATACATTAAAATATCACCTAAAAGACATCACGGACCTCATGTAACAACATGCACTAGAAGTGCGAACTCTAAGTTTGCAATAAATGCTTCGATGCTGGTACTTTGAGCTTATATTTTGACCAATGAATTCATCCAGCTATTTTTCAGAAAAAAAAAGAAGCTAAACTTTAAGGGGAAAATCTTGATTGTCTCATTGAGCGAAGAAGCGTCGTATAAGCCGATATAAATACAATTGACGGGCACGCCTTGCTCAATGGGCGACCCTACTTGTCCCATTAAATCGGCGTCGTCCTTGAGGTCGTTTTAGAAGTCGTTTTAAACCTCGAGGACGATCTCACTCGTCACATTACGTGAGAAACAAGCGGCGGTGGCTGCGGCGTTGTTCCCGAAAGATGGCCATAAAATACGCCATCACGCGTCATCACCGTGATGTCATCAAGCGTCATCATACGTCATTAGCTTGTTGTCACCACCGCAGCGCCGTGTGGAAAAGGTGCATTTCGGACTTCATCTGTGCTCGTTGTGTGCCTCGTGCTATGGACTGTGAGGCGACCACGCCTACATCTAGGGCGGCTGCCGCAGGCAAACGTGGCTGTCCACGCAAATACGCCACAGCCTCCTTAAAGGGACACTGACAGGGTATTTATGCTCACCGAGGTTTTTAGTTTTATATGACATATGAGAGCCCAACTACCTGTTATGTACGCACGAATTGGTCGGAGCCAACGATAACGTTTTACTGTTTATTTGTTAACATCACTTTTGGCTAGGCGGGAAACCCGGTGGTCCTCCGGGCAGCACAGCCTTGTTGAACGCCCTCAAATTCCCGGCATACAGGCGGCGGCGCCACCAGTCAGTGGCGAGTACACAACATCTCCCCCTTTCAGTCATAGCCATAACGGCACGGTGGTCGCAAGGGCCTTCCAGATCGAGAGGTTGGTCCGGACCTTGACTGCTGGAGTGATGCTGGCTGGCTGGCTGGGCAGTCAGGGAGCTCGGGCGAACAGGGCAAGCTGCTGAGAGAGATGAGGTCCTCCTCAATGTTGCATCGTCGACGATCGATGACGAGGAACTTGGCATTGCGGCGAATTATGCCCTGGTCAGTGCCAATCCAGTAGGAACGAGGTGTTTCCGCTTTGTTGAGCACTGTCCCTGCACGCTTCAGATCGGTGATCCTTACAGCATGTCGCCTGTCGTAGTTGATCGCTTGGCGTTTTCGAGCCTTGTGCTCAAAGTCTTCGACTTGATGATGATCTGGAACAGAAGGCCTCAACAGCTCCGCTGATATTGGCACATGTGTCCGCAATCTCCGGCCAAACAACAATTCGGCAGGGCTGAAGCCGTTCTCTAAAGGTGTTGCCCGGTACGCCAAGAGTGCTCTGTAGGGATCAGATGACTTTGTCAGTTTAGTCTTCGCAATCTTGACTGCGGCCTCGGCACAGCCATTGCTCTGGGCATGTTTGGGACTTGAGGTGACATGCTTGAAACCCCAGTTTCTTGCGAAGCACAGAAATTCAGAGCGAAACTGTGGTCCATTGTCCGTCACAACTGTCTCGGGGATCCCATGCCTTGCGAAGATTGACTTCGACTTGAAAATGACGGTCTCTGGTCTTTGATTTTCAAGCAATGATATCTCGATGTAGCGGGAGTAGTAGTCCGTCACAACCAGGTAGCACCTCCCATTAGCATAAAAAAGGTCCATGGCTACTCTTTGCCATGGTCGGTCAGGGAAGGGAGTTGGCATGAGTGACTGGTTCCGAGGTTGCCTCTGCTTCATACAACTGACACATTTCTCCACAGTGTCAGCAATGTCTTTTGATAGACCAGGCCACCAACAGGATTGCTGGGCTCGTCTTGTGCACTTGATGATGCCTTCGTGACCATCATGGAGAGAACTTAGCACTGAGGATCTCAGTGGAACAGGTATCAGGTATCGTTGCCCTCTCATGAGGATTCCCTCATGCAACGTTAGTTCGTTCTTGAACTGCCAGTAAGGCAAGCACTCCTGGTGCACTTGTTTTTTCGTCTTCGGCCAAGTTGTTTGAACATAGTTCTTCAGAGCTCTGCAAACAGAGTCTTGGTCTTGTGCATCTGCAAGGCTCTGCAGACATACGTCTGGGACACTCACATGCCGAATGAGGGCTTGCTCAAAGTCGGCGACTTCCTCTGCGAGGCGCGAGCTGTCCTGTCCCTGCAGTGGTTGACGAGACAAGGCATCAGCAACAACCAAGTCCCTGCCGGGCACATGTTGCATGCTGTAGTCATAGCGCATCATCCTGAGACGCAGCCGTTGTAGCCTTGGCGTAAGATCATCCACTGGCTTCCGTGTGAAGAGGGGAATGAGTGGCTTATGGTCAGTTTCAATGTGGAACCTTAGACCGATGAGATAGTCCTTGAACTTCTCACATGCCCACGTAACGCCAAGGGCCTCTTTCTCTATCTGAGAATATCCCCTCTCTGCCTCTGTCAGAGTTTTCGATGCATATGCGACGGCTCGCAGGCTTTTGTCCTCTTGGCGCTGCATCAGGACCGCTCCCAGGCCAAAACTTGAGGCATCAGCAGACACGATTGTCTCCTTTGTTGGACAGTAGAGTGCGAGCACTGGTTGTGATGTAAGGCAATTCTTTACATCTTCAAAAGCATGTTGCTGCGTGCTGCCCCAGCTGAATGGAACATCCTTGTGAAGCAGATCTCTCAGGGGTCCTGTCTTGACCGCCAGGTTCGGTATGAACCGCGCGATGAAATTCACCATTCCTAGGAACCTCTTGAGTTCTGTGACGTTTGTTGGAGGTGGCATGTCTACGATGGTCGCTATCTTTTCCTTGTCTGTGGTGACACCGTCTTTGTTGATCACATGTCCCAGAAACTTGACTGTTTCCTGGGCGAACACGCACTTTTCACGGTTAAGCGTGATCCCTTTTTCCTTCAGTCTGCCTAAGACTTCACGCAGGCGACTGTCGTGCTCTTCCCTGGTCTTGGCCCACACCAGAATATCCTCGATATGACATGCCACACCGTCAAGTCCTTCCAAGAGTTCATGAGTCATTCTTTGAAAATTCTCAGGAGCACAGGAGATGCCGAAAGGGAGGCGGTTAAACTTGAACCGACCAAATGGAGTGATGAAAGTGGTGAGCAGTGTTGACTCAGGGTGCAGTTTCACTTGATAAAAGCCAGAGTAAGCATCCAAACGGGAGAAGTACTTAGCTTGTCCCAAAGTAGCCAGAATTGGCTCCACACTTGGAATCGGATGATACTCTCTCTGCACACTCTTGTTCAACATGGTGTAGTCCACACAGATGCGTATGTCACCATCCTTTTTCGGTACTACCACGATTGGCGAGCACCAATCTGTTGGCTCACTGACAGTGGTGATCACTCCTTCGTTTTCCATCTTTCAGAGTTGACGCCCCACAGCTTTCAAGAGTGGAACTGGGATGCGTCGCGGTGATGTGACTGCCACAGGCTCTACCGGCGACTTCAGCTTGATTTTGCAAGTGTAGGGGGCTTCTCCCAAACCTTGGAACACCTCTGGGAACTCGTTGATTGGGTCGAGACATGGCTCTGCTCCGGCTCTACTCACTCGGCACAGGATACCGAAGCGTTCGATGAGGTCCAAGCCCAGAAGAGGCTCGTCCAGGTCCTTTGTGACGTAGAGGTTCGCCACGGTACTTTTCCCATTGTATACTACTGTTGCTTGCATCACCCCCACGATGTCCAGTCGCTGCTTCGCTGGTCCAAGAAGGAGCATGTCGGGTTTCTGGAGTGTTATCCCCTTGTCCAGCTTTGCCAGTAAACCTGTTGGAATCACGGTAACGTCCGCTCCTGTGTCTAGGCGGAACTCGACGTTGTGACCGCCTACGACGACGGTGACTTTCCACGGCTTTTTCTTCTGCCCAGTGTTGACCGTTCCTGCGAAAAAGAAGTCTGCCTCCGTCGACGTGCTTTCATTCAGCTTGGCGACTTGCCGGAGTCGCTTGGCTTTACAGACTGATGCAAAATGGCCTTGCTTTCCGCACTTGTTGCATCGAGCTTTGGCTGCAGGACATTGCTGCCTCGGGTGCTTGACTGCATTCCCACACCAAAAACATGACTGGGTTGCGTGTGGCTGATCCACCGAAGGC